ATGCTGCTCCTGACCCACCTCACCATGCCCGGCCTCTGGCTGTGCCCACAGTCACACCTGGAGGATATCACCAGCTGCAGGTTCTCACATGCTGCACCAGGACTGGCCTCTGTTTCTCTCCACATAGAGCACGCAGCAGGTTTGGTTTATGGGACTGAACTGACAACCCAGCACCCTCTCTCTGTGATGCTGCTCTGCAGGCCCGGCCACTGTGCTCTGCTGCTGTGTGGCTGCAGCCGTCACCCCCTGACCCTTACCCTCTGGCTGCCCTGTCCTCCGCTCTGCTCTCCTGCCTCTAACCTGGGGCTGGTCGTGTGGCCTTAACCTTATCACCGATGCTCAGGGCCATTCTCCTGGACAGACCCCTCCTTCTGAGGCTGCTCACAGCCCTGCATATCCCTTAAGTGCGTTGAATAGAATTCTGGCAGAGATGTGGGGTTTGACTCACATAAAACCTGTTCAGCTAGACCCAGGCTGGAATGCCCAGTGGGCTCCAGGAGCTCAGCCAGGCCTAAGGTTGAGCTGTGCAGTGCCTGAAGGTGGCTATCCCTGCTGCTGCCAGGTACCCCGAGCTACACCACTGTGAGACTGCCGTGGCTATCCCGTACCCTAAAGTGCTGCTGTGCCCTCTGACACGAGAAGGCTGCATGCCTACTCACTGCCCAAATGCCCAGCAATGCCACTGAGAAGCGTCAGCATGAAGGACAAAGTCCACTTTACAGTGTGCTGTGGCACCCATCGGGTGTTTGGGCAGTCGGTGGCATGCAGCAGTCTCACATCGGCAGGGTGCACCGCCATCAGGTGCCAGGCAACTCCAGTGTCCTGTGACCACTTTATCGTCCCTTCACAAACTGTCTCTACTCCGGGACGCCCTGCGGACCACACCCATCGGCATCTCCTCTTCCCAACTGCTAAGCTGTTGCCAAGTTAACCCTAAAACACAGCTTGGACCATGTCGTTCCCCAGCTTTAAAGCCTTAAGAGCTCCCATTTCTCTGAAGAAAGCCATTTCTCTTCCAACAGACAGGGCGCCAGGTGCCCTTCCAGGGTGACCTTGAGGGTGCCACTGCAGTTCCTGCTTCTCCCCACGGAACTGAGCATGCCCCTGGGAACACAGCACTCACTGTGCACAGCCCTGCACGTGGACTTACGTTTGCATTAATTCTCCTCTTCATCTCTCCCCTGATGAGAGGCAGCATGCCTGCTGAGCATTCCTTGCTGTTTTTGCAATGTTCACATGTGGCCAGACGGATGGATGGATGGGGGGACGCAGTGCAGCCTGGGTGTGGCTGACCACCACAGGTGCTCCTGGAGCCACAGGCCACCGGCCTTATTCCCAGGGCAGTGGTGTGATCAAAAGAACGAATGCATCAAGAGAGATTGCAGGTCTGACCCCTTCCCACTGTTTTCTGCACAGCTTGGAGGCTGTGCCTGGGTCCTGGGTGCTCCTGGTGACCTTTCCCCTTTGCCTCCTGCTTGTAGCTCCACTCTGCTGCCTCCTGTTGTACTGAACCTGTCCTCGCTGCCTGGCTGAGGGAAATCCTGTCCTCTCATGGCTTCCTTCTTATCCCTTCCCTGGGACTCTTCATAATAACTCCAAACAGAGACTGGAGGCTTGGGGCTCATGCCAGCGTCTCCAGCTTCTCTAGAGTTGGGAATGAACACTCAGGTCTCCACCACATGCTGATGGGTTTGGGAGACTGTGATCTGTCTAAGCTGTTTGGAAATCCGCACAACTCTGAGCTGTGGGATGGTGGGGCTTCATGGTTTGCATGCTTTTAAATCCGAAGGGACAGAATTATTTAGTGATCGGGAAGTCACACATTTAACATCCGGATTCATAGTTGTAGCATTTAAACCATGACAGCTTGTGCTTCTGAGGTGCCCTGTTCATGCATGGCTCTCTTAGACTTTATCACATGGAACTGCACGCGTCAGGCCGTGTAGCGCCCAGAATCTCAAAGGGAGAGCTTGGTCCCACCAGGTCTCATTGTTCTGTATTATATTTTAAAATAGTAGTTTATTTTCCCTATTGCTTCTTCAGTTCCAGGTACTGAATAGCAGCTTAGAAAACATCCCCGTAACAGCCCTGGGGCGCCTGCTTCACGGGCCTGCGGGGTGTCCTGGGAATGGTCTGTTTCCACAGTTGGAACAAGTGGGCCCCCCGCCGCCCTTGCTGCCTGCTCCTCTCTCCTCATTAAACCTTCAGAGAACACAAAGGAGGTGAGAGCCCTTTTTCTCTCCATCTTCCAAAGAACACTTTTCAGTATAAAAGGTGCCCTAAATCCTTTGTGATGTCGGCTCACAAGCAGCCTGCGCTGACACAAAGCAACGTCTCTGCCGGCCTCTGCCACCTGCAGACAGCAACTGGCCTCTGTGAGCTGCCAGCTCCCGACCTTAGCCCGGGTCCCAGGAACAGGAGTGACTTTGTGAACTGGCACGTGGACAGACGTGCCAGGTGGCCCCTGGAGACGTAGGCAGCTTCAATGTGTGTCAGGCAGAGGCTCAGAGTTAAAGAAAAAACCTGTGAAGAAACTATTCAAGACACGTAAATGGAAGTGAGTGTTTCCTATGTACCCCACCCCCCACAGGGTGCTTGGTGAGGGTAGGGGAGCCGTAGAGCAAACATTATCCTGAGGCAAATGTACGTGCCCTTTAACCTCTCCCCGTTCAGGAGTGTACGGTGAGGGAATACTCGGGTAAACATAGAACAACTCACATGCTCACCAGCAGGAATTCAATCCTACCAAGGCCAGGCTGTGGAATATCATGCAGCGGTTAAATCTCAGGAGATGTGCACGTTCAGATGGGAAAGATGGACAGGAGCTGTCTCAGCATGAGAAAGACAGCTGCAGAAGCTTTACACAATTTAACCTGATTCCCATGAAGAAACAGAAGAAAGGGCAGGAAGGAGATTGTTTGTCAGATGGAGGAAGGCTCTGGGACCCTGCTTCGGGCGGGCATGAGTTTTCCCCAGAGAGGGGAGAGGCAGGCGGAGGAATTCACTTTCTGTGTAATCTTTGCACAGAGTTCGAAGTTTTATAACTTTCCTGTATAATTTCTGTCATCTGAAAGCCTGAAAAAAAATAGCCAATTAAAAAGCTGCCATTTGTGATGAGAATGGACAAACCTATTCCTGTGGATGGAGGAGGGGTGCTTCAGCGTGGCCCCCGGCCTGCACCTTCCACCCTCCCATCAGGGCTGAGTCTCCTCCAGCAGCTGGAATATTTTCCCACCTCAGGCAAATGGGTACTAAGCCCCTCTGAGTCAGACAAAACTGACTCCCTGGATGGCTGTGTGCTCCCTGGAGGGCCATGTGCTTCCTGGAGGGGTATGTGCTCCCCGGAAGGGCATGTGCTCCCTGGAGGGGTGTGTGCTCCCTGGAGGTGTATGTGCTCCCTGGAGGGGTGTGTGCTCCCTGGAGGGCTGTGTGCCAAGCCCCTTCCCCCTTCCCACCTGCTCTGCTCTTAGGAAAGTCAGCAAAGTCTGGTTGGTCTGGCTCACTCTAGGTTTGACTCCTTGGGGACGTGGCTTTTAGCCATGTGCTATATTCCTCCTGACAACGCAGCCATTTGGTGGAGCATGGAGTTCATTAGAAATAGATTTTATTTGCCTGTAGCATAAATGTGACTAAGGCTCAGCACACACAGAGATTCACATATGTGTGTGCATACAGGCACACACACATGTACACCCCTCACACGCATGCAGACACTCCCCCACACGTGCAGACACCCACACACACGTGTACACTCCACCCCATACATGTAGACACCCCCCACACACATGCAGACACCCATACACAAGTGTGCACACCCCCACACACATGCAGACACTCACACACAATGCAGACACCTACACACAAATGTGTACACCCCCACACACATGCAGATGCTCACACACACATGCAGACACCTACACACATATGTGCACACCACACACACATGCAGACACCCACACACAGGCGTGCACACCCAACCCCACACACACCCACACACACGTGGACTGTTTGCACGAACACACACACACACACACACACACACACTCTCCTGCATTCAGTCCTGCTCTATTAACAGGTTCTTGGCTCTTCAGAGCTGACAGAGGCTGTGTCAGGCACGGTGGGACAAGGCTGGGTGTGCAGGGGCCTCTTACCCAGGGCGCTGCTCACCTGTCAGCTGCCAGATGGAGGTTCCCCAATGGCGATGCTCTGACAGGGGCCCATGACTGTCTTGAGGGATGGGTGGCTGTTTCCAACATCCTCCCTGGTACACTGTGGCTGGCGGGGCCCTGCCCACCTTCTCCCTCCCCATTCAGGCTCTGTTTTCATCTGAATGCAGCAGCCACAGTGAACATGGCAAACACATCCTCTGTGCCCCAGGGCCTCAGGTCTGGTCAGAGCAAATTCTTACTCAGCGTGCAGATGTGAGGACAGATTTTATTGAAGTATTTACACAGCTCATTCCTGCCACGTGGAGGAGTTTGAGACATTCTACAGAAGATTACAGTTAAAGACACCTGCTGACTGCTAGGGCCTGCATCCTCTGCTCACCAGGTATCTGCCAGGAACAGTGGGCAGCCTGCCCCTCTACCAGGCAGGAGGAACCGGTCCTCAGCTCTGCTGAACACTGTCCCCTGCACCTACCTGAAGATTGATGACCACCCACACCCAACCATCTGATAGCCACACAACCAGTGCCCGGTGACCGCCTGACCATGATGGCCACGCCCACTTCCTCTGCATCCCCTCTGTGTCACAGCTCAGTGTCCACACCTGGTCACTGACCCAACACCTTCAGTTACCACAAATCTGTTTCCTCAAAACCCTGAGTGGGTGGGGGATGCCCTCTTTGTCCTTTTAAAGCCAGGCAAGGCTGGGGGTGGGTCTCCCAAACCCTACAGGGAGGAGCAGCAGAGGGGCAGGGTGTAGCCAATGGGCGGGACTGAACTTGGAGTCTGCAGCATCCACCTGCTTCTCTCTCACTGCACTCCACACACTCCACCATCCTTTCCTGGCCACCTGCCCTGGGTCATTTGCTCCCCACCAGTCCCTGATGGAGCCTCTGCAGCCCCCAGAATTGGTGGGTTAGTTGTTCTCTAGATCTTGTGACAGCCTCACCTGCATCTCCAAACTAACCTTGGGCTCATTCTCCCCAGAAGTCCAGAGATGAGTCCATTGCAATACAGTGGTATGACCAGCGTGGCCCGGGGCGTGCAGGATGGGGCGTGGCTGGTGTGGCCCAGGGCATATAGGATGGGGCGTGGTTGGTGAGGCCCAGGGCATGCAGTATGGAGCGCTGAGCGTAGGGGATTGAGGGGTCTCTGGACACTGCTGGTTTGCCATCCTATCAGCCCCTCTGTCTGGCCTCATTTTACTGGGGACGTGGGTTTTCCAAACCAAGGTGATGCTGTCAGGATTTGTGAGCTTCCCTGTGGCCGCCTCCCAGCACAGCTGTCCTGACCTTTGGCACCTCGCTCCAGCTGGGGTCTGTGATGGCACCAAGGCATGGGAAAAAGATGTTCATTTTTAAGGGGAAAAGCAGAGTCAGATGTACTCAGAATAACCCAGCCCCGCCGTTGAGGCACCTGGGCTAGGAAAGGGTGGCCTGCTGAGGTCTGCCAGGCGCTGCGGGGACCAGGGCATGTCACAGGCATGGAGACTGCACTCAGATGTCCCTACCCTTCTGCAGCCAGCTCAGCAACGTCCCCAGACACCCTCTCCAAGTCTGCAGGTCACGGAACAGCCGCTAGGGCTGCCTAGCACCAGCTCTGGGGAGGAGGGCTTGAAACAGTTGTATATGTTGTTAAAATAATTCTCCATTTAGACAGAAATGATTCTAAGATGATTTTTGTTAAAAAGATAATAGGTTTCCGGTTACCATTCAGCTATTTCTCATGCCCACCTGACCCCATCACCAGGGGCTGCAGGCCTGGCTGTGGCTGGCCTGAGGCTGAGTGTTGGGCTCCATGGCCCCCACAGGGTGGCAGGTGACTTCCCAAGGCAGAGCCCTGGCTGCTGAGGGGCCTCCCAACACCTACGTGGAGGGCACCCCCTCCTTCATGACCTGCTCTCTTGATCTGGTGGTCTCCTCAGCCCGCTTTCCATAGGGAGGCAGAACAGCCCTGTGGAGGCGGCTATGCTGGGCCCTGTGGGAAGAGTTGGGGGGGAAGGGCTCTGGCAGGCCAGGTGGGAACCCCAGGAGGGAAGGCAGGTTGCCCTTGCATTGATTTATCCTGGTCCTAATGTCAGGGGGGCCCTGACCGGCTTCCCTCTGTCCTGCACACGAGGGGGCTGCCCTGTGGGACCTGGGAGGCTGCCCTGAAATGGCATGGACGTCACCTGTGGTCGCCCAGGCCCTTGCTGGGTCATGCAACTGCATTTCCACATTTCCTTCTTGGCTTCCCTATTCTCTTCGAAAATGGATCCAACTATAGGGCTGAAACACATGCTGAACAAAATTATCTAAATGCTGGAGTTTAAATCGAGTCAATGACAACACGACCCCAGTTCCACGTGTGGGGTTTGGTGGACAACCAGCTTGACTGCATGAGGACCGTGCTGACCTGCCTGACAGTGTCAGCCCCCATCAGTCTGTGTCAGCCCCAGGACCATGGGCTCCCGCTGCGTCCACAGGCGGGGGTCGGGCTAGATAACAGAGGTCTCCGTCTGCAGGAAGGACTGAGTTCGGGAGCCGCGGTAGAACTGCAGGGCACCCTCCGAGCCGTTGCGGGAGATGGAGGAGCCACAGACCCTGTAATCTCTGCTGGAGGACGGGGTCGGGCACTGGCTTCGCCATTTTCGCTTCAGCTCGCACTGCACCTGGGGAGGTGAGAGCACCGGGAGCATCTGTGAGCCTGGGCAGGGATGTGTGTGTACTCTGAGGAGCACGGCCCACAAACCTCCAGCTTTCCCTCCTGCCTGACCCTATGTGGAGAGTGGGGCTACATCTGTGTCCTCGTCAGATGGCCAGAAACAGAAACGGCTTGGGGAAGAGACGCTGGAGGGAGTGGGAACTGAGTGGCCAGGTGAGGGCCAGGGGGACGCTGCTCAGCTGCCGGCTCTGTCAACAGGGACTCACGAAATGCTGTGCAGCCCCAACCCCAATCCAGGTGCTGGCTTTCTGGGACTCACAAGCAAGACGCTGACCAGGGAGAAAAACAGATTCTGTCTAGACCCGTCAGGGAGCTTTCCCGAGAGGCTCTGAGAGGACAGCAGTCAATGGTGCTTGGGGTGGACGGAAGGACGGGGGTTTGGAAGCTGGGCCCAGAAAGTGGGCTTGCCTGTGTCGCTGTGGGCTCTGATGGGGACACAGAGAGCCATGGGGGCCTGGGCAGTGGGACTGGCCCATGGAAGACAGGCGCACGTGGGGGCCACAGCCCGGGTTGGGCAGCATTTCAGGAACCAACTGAGTACCTGCGCCTGGTTCCAAGGCAGCCACGGACTTACCTCACTGTTCAGGAAACAGTAGAGGACGGCCACCACCAGGCCCTGCAATGAGAAGGGGTGGTCAGGCAGGACCCCCTTTGTTGTAGGGGGGGCCGCCGCCTCCTCACACCTACCTGGAATGACCCAAGGCACAGTTCAAACAGAATCTGGTATTTGGAGGAGATGCTGATGGGAAACACGGCAAACACCATGTAGTGGACGCCAAACAGCGGGATGAGCAGGAGTGTGGACTTGGCCAGCCTCCTGCACAGAAGGAGAGGGGCCAGCTCAGCTGCTGGGCCTACGAACCCTCTGCATGCCGGGCAGGGTCTTGCTCAGGACTGGGCAGCTGGGTGTGGGAGGGGTTCCATACCCCCTCTCCACCGCTGGCGTTGCCGGCTAGCAGGAAAAGCCACTGCTCCTTTATGCTTATGTCTGAGGCCCCGTGCAGATCCAGCACTCAGGACCTGGGAACATGCATTCCAGAAAGTGTTCATTTCTCCCAAATTCCCTCACAACGACACATGCTGTGCCCCAGGGTTCATGGCTACCAGGGGCAAGATTCCTTGTGAGTGACCCACAGCCTGCAGGGGCCCTGCCTGGGCACCTGGCCCATCCTGAGGCAGGTGAGGGTGCCACACGGGACGAGAAGGCCAGCTTCCACCATGGCCATGTGCACGTTTAAATGATGAGGCTGACGCCTGCTCCCAGGTCTGTGGCTCATAGCAGCTGGGCTCCGTGGGAGCCAGGCTTTTCAGTCAGCAGCAGAGAACCCACCTAATTCACACTATTAACTCTTCTGCAGTTTGCTGGAGAAGAGGCCTCCCAGTGGCTGAGCTTCTGGCCCTGTCCAGGGAGGTTTTGCTACTTCCGTGACCAGAGAGTTACACAGAAAGGCCTCTGGTGGCCGCATGGGTGTCTCGGCCTTTTCTGTTGTCCTGGACCGAGAACAGATTTTATTGTCCCCACTTAATTCTGTTTCCAAAATGAAATCATCCATCTCCAAGTGTATTTAACAAACACTCCCAAAGAGCCAATACGAAGGAACTAAACAAGAAACTACACAAGATTCATAGGAAATCAAAGCTCTGCCTGAAGGCCAGGAACAATCTTGTTCCTGCTTCTCTGCCATGGCAGGCACCACCGGCCTCCCCCAAGCAGGGATGAGGTCACACTGCCACGCAGGGCCTGACGTGGAATCCCATCCCTCATGTGGGCAGGCAGAGATGCACACTCCCTGGATTTAGATGCCATATGGCAGAATTTGATTCTCTGGTTGACCAAACTCTTTCACGATACTCTGGTGCCAGGCAGCAAATATCTGGCAAATATCGACTCCGTTAGTGACATTATGATTTCCATTTTACAGATGAGGAAACTGAGACACAGAGTGGCAAAGTGACTTCCCTCAGGCACCAGCAGTATCTGCACCCAGCTTTGGGGCTCTTGGCCATGCTCCTGCCTAACTGTCCCTTCCCAAATCCATCCTGTTTTCTAAGGCGGGAGTAAAGGGAAACGCAGGCCAGGAACCCACCTGGCTTGTTCTGCCACAGAGGAGCTCTGAGCACAGCCGCCCTTCTAGCCCCAGTCATTCTGAGCCCGAGGTGCCTTCTGGCTGGGCCAGCCATTTTCACACCAAGCCAGTGCTTAGTTTATACTTGAATTTTTGGATTTTACCTTTTCTTTATAAATGTTGATATAAATTTATGGAGTCTTTGCATTACTTTAGAGATTTCCCAGATCATCGTGAATTAGCTGGATGACTGGGGGTAAAACGTCTGCCCTGTCTTCATCTACTTAAGGGCAATCAAGATGCCATGTCATGTAATCACACAGGGAGGAAACTCATTCTGAATTACTAACTACAAGGCCTGGTATTAGGGCTCGCAGTAGACACATGGACATGGACCACGTGGTCTGAGCGGGAAGACAGAATTAAAAGTAAAATCAAAATAATCTGTGGCCAAAGAGAAGACGGATTGTATAACATGCAAGTGGGCAGAAGCTTAAACAAGCCAGCTCACTAAAGAGGACTTTATCCTGGCCTTGAAATAAAAGAAAGGGTGGCAACTTTCATAGTCACCAGGGAAATGCTGCCCAGGGCCTCTCTGAGCTTCGGGCAGGAGCAGAGCCCTGGGGCCCAGCTGCGAGGTGAGGCATAGTCACCATGGTTCCAAGGGCTTCCTGGCAGCTCTGGGGGGTTTCCGCACAGCATCCCCACCAGGGCGGCCAGGCTGGGACACACACTCACTTGTACTGTGACTGGTCATTGCCGCTGACATCTGGTGACTTTAACTTCTGCAGCAAAATTCTTATGATACTGATGAAAAGGACAAAATTGACCTGCCCAAAAGGGATAAAAAGTTTGTGAAACTGACTCACAGAGACCTAACCTCCCTGAAGTCCACCTGATTTCCACCCTCCCCTCCTCCCGCAGTCCCTCCCTCCTTCCTGGGAATTGCCTCTGGGTGTCCGCAGCCTCAAGAGGTCCTTTTCTGGGATGGCTGAGTGGAACCGGTCATTTCTATTTAATAAAGGATAGGGGGCCTGCTGTCTGCCCAGCTGTGCGACTACGCAGATAATCCACATTTCAACAGGGGCTACTTACAATGATGGAGGTTAAAATCGGTATTCGTATGACCCACCAGGGCACACTGTGGTCGTTTGTATCCCAGCAACTGTGTGAGAGAAAGATGGGAAATCAGGTGACCACCGACCTCTCTCACAAGAGGGGCACGGGAGAATGAGGCCTGCTTCACGCCTGTGCCTGCCTGCGGGCTGCCTGCCCCTCCCAATGTGCCTGCTCCCCACACCGTGGAAGCGTCACTTCTCTACACTGACAGATCATAAAGGAGTCTGTCCTAGTGAGTGATTGTGTTTCATTTTATGCATCTCAAAATGATAGTCTGCTTATAGGGAGGAGGGACACAGACGCGGTCCCACAGGCGCCGACGAGGCAGGGTGGCGTTGAAGCCCTCCTCTCTGAGCATGAATGCGTGTGTTGGCCCCATCCAGCCAACGTCATGAGCAAAGAACCTTCCTCCTGAAAATTAGCTTTCCTCCACCTCCCAAGTGGTGTGCATGTGTGTGGCAAACGGTTCAAAATGTCCTTATAATGACTGAGGTGGGCGAGCTGCCAGCTCTCCATCTCGTGGCACATGGGGTGTCTCCAGCAGGAAGCTGTGACCCCTGGCTGGTAAAATGCCTCAGTGATTCCCCCACAGGGTCCACTCCCTGTCCTAGGAGTCCGCAGCCCTCCCACAGAGCAGAATCTCCATCACAGGCCTGGGTTCATGAGCTCCCTCAGAGGCTGAGGGCAGGAGTCTTCCAGGTGGTGCAATCTCAGACTGGCCTGAAGAGGAACAAGAGGCCCAAGCCTGCAGCTGGCTGAAGGGGACCAAGGGGGGGCCAGTCCTCAAGGCCAGAAGTGCCCCTGCTGAGTCCTCCCAAGTCGTCAGGTACAGAATCACATAGTAACTAGACTAGGCGGGTGTTTCAAACCACCAAATTTTGGAGTGATTCGTTACTAGCAGGGGATACCTGATGCACACTGAGGCCCTTTACGAGGCAGGATATTTGTGCTGGAGTCATGTGTGCTGGTATCTGGGCCACAGTCTCACTCAGGGTGAGCACAGGGCAGAAGTGCTCTGGGCTGCATGGGCCAGGACCAGCACTTAGGAAGTGCCAGGTGCCCTCAGCACCGTCACCTGACCTTCCACACTTCAAACAGCGTGCAGGAAGTGCCGGGTGCCCTCAGCACCATCATCTGACCTTCCACACTTCAAACAATGTGCAGGAAGTGCCAGGTGCCCTCAGCACCATCACCTGAACTTCCACACTTCAAAGAACCTGCAGGGCACTTGGTTTTCTTCTGTGGACACTGCTGTGCCCACCAAAGGGGCTGCACCAGTCTCTGCCTGGCTGGTCCCAATCTCAACTGCGCTGTAAAACCTGGCTCACTTTCTGTCTCCCACATGGGCTCCCTCCAAACACTCCAACCTCACAGCATTCCTCCCCAAGAATCTCCCAGATGCCTCCCGCAAATGCTCCCTGTCCTTCCAACCAGGTGACCTTCTGGCTTCCAAAGGACTTCATGTTGCCAGATGCTGCCATGCCCATTTTTGAGGCCACGGTCTGGGCATGGACTCACCCAGTGTCTTCTAAGTAGAGCCTGGCCACAGTCCACGCCCCGATGCAGACGGTGGGGAGGCCTGCGGAGAGACGCCTGGTTACACAGGCAGAGCGGAGCCACGCATGCACACAGATGGGTGCCCTCACCAGCAGTACCCTCAAGGACACGCTTTCTCACGGGAATACGAAGTGCAATCTCTTGTTTAAAGTCTTTGTAAATATTTACAAGTTTGTGCTCATGCCTTAGTAAGCAGTGAAGATAATTACACACACGCTTGAGAGCTGAGAGTCTGACGACACTTTGAGACTTGCCATTCTGCACAGGAAGTGTTATTACTGGAGGCCACGGAGGTAAATGTGCCAGGAAGGAGATGTGTTCACTGATTTTGTGGCCACCCAAGGAACTATTGGCTGCATCTGCCTCATCCCCTCCATGAGGATGCCCCAAATTTGTACCCCTTTCCAACCCTGGACAAGGCAAGACTTCCACTTCCTGGTGTGGTTAACTTTTCTCCTCTCTGATCCCCACCCTCAGTGAAAGCTGAACCAGGTAGAGGTGGGAGGAGGAAATTGTTTTGTTACTTGTTAGCAGCCTCATTTGAATTGGGGTCAAAGGGGCCATGAATGGGAGCATTTTAGACTAGGTCCTGGTTACCGGAAATATTAACTTGTTCATAGGAGCCTCCAGTCATTCTAGAAAAACTCTTCATCACATGACCCTGACATGCATTCTATGGGGGCAGCAAAGCATTTTCCTGAGCTGAAAAAGCTTGCATTGTTTGGTCAGATGGGATGGGGGTTTGTGGGTGGGAAGGGGCACGCTTACCCCATCCAATCAGGAGGTAGGCCAGGAAGCACCTTCCTGGGGGGAGCATGGCCACCAGGAGGGTGTGGAGGTAGAGCCCCTCCACCAGCAGCCAGAAGAAGTTGGCCATGATGCAGTACTGCAGGAAGACCAGGCTCAGCTTGCAGCCCACCTGGAAATCACAAACAGAGGACAGCAGGACCCAATTAGGTGACAACAGTTCACAGCAGGCCGCTCCAGGATACAGGGTGCTTGGTATCTGTGCAAGGAAGGAGGAGACACCAGGTGCTACTGGGACAGAATTAACACAGCTGCCAGGGTGCTGGCCTGGAATGCCTTCCATTAGCACCAGGCCCTGTGTATACGCGGCTCCAGGGGAAGATCACTGCAAGATAAACTCGGCAGAGGCAATTGTGAACAGCCCTCCCTGAGAAGAGCTCATTCACTGCTGCAGGGCCAGGAGCGCACTCACTGCTGGAGGGTCTTAGGGCGCAGCCCCTCGCCCTCGAGCACGAGTGCAGGTGGAGGGTGCAGCACCTCCCAGCTTCCCTCACTAGCAGCTCACGTGAGCAGCGCTTGGGAAGAGAAAACAATGGACCCACATCAGGCCCCCAAATTTTCTTTTAAATTTTTGACAACCTGTAAGTTCCTCAATTGTAAAAAACTGGTTTTAATGTTAGGTAACCTAATTAAACCTTAAAAAATGGGAAAATGAGAAATCTGGCAAATAAAATATTTTCTGAGGAGGTTTTTAAGAGGATTTTCACTGGGAAAGAACAAATAAAATAAATCTATTTTAATCTCTCAGACCTTCTTCTAACTAAATGTACCAGGCATTTCAGCCTCATGAGCAAACATGAAACTGCTACTTTTAATCACTGAGCTTATATAAAGTATGCTGAAAAAAGATAGTATTTTCATTTCCATTCTTATTTCTATATTTATGTTCATATATATCTATAAAGTCATATGTAGGAAGCACATAGGTACAGGCAGATATGCTCTCTATATATATGTCAGAGAGATATACCTATACATATTTGTGGGTGAATATACTTATATATATGGGTGAATATACATACATATGGGTGGATATAATATACACATATATCAGACGGCCATCCCTATACATACATATGGGTGAATATACTTATATATACATATGGGTGAATATACTTTTATATATATGGGTGGATACACCCATACATATATATGGGTGGATATACTTATATATGGGTGGATTATACTTATACACATGTATGGATGGATATACCCATACATATATATGGATGGATTATACTTATACATACATATGGGTGGATATACTTTTACATACATATGGGTGGATATACTTATATAAGGGTGGATATACTTATACACATATACGGGTCGATATACGTTCATGTAGTGGCCTTTCAATTTGGCCTCCAGGGTCCTGAGAGCCACTGAGCCCTGCAGGCTGCCCCTGACCTCCCCAGTGCTGCGGATCTTCCTTGCCTTCGTCTGCTTTTTCCTTTTCCTAAGCATAACAGGGTAGGTGCTTCATTGCCTGAGGCAGTGCACGGGTGAGAGTTACCCTTATTGTTTGTCTTTGCTACCAGGGCAAGCCGAGCGCCTGCACACGGATCTCAAGTGTTAACACCTGCTGAATGGACACTGAGATCCCAGCAAGTTCTGCCCTGGGCACCAAGACAGAGCCTCTTACATGGAAAGACACACATGATGACACAGCCATGAACACAAGAGAGTCACAGCAGGTCAATTTGTAACTCATTGCCACTCATTTGAATAAAATGAAATCAAGTTTTAAAATCTCTGGGCGGTGCGATTCTGGGATGTGGTGACTCATCTGAATGCAGCTTGCCTTGTCACTCGGTAAAAGACCTGATCTTAAACACAACGGGGAGTAAACTGCAGATGAACCAAGACACAAATGAGCAATCTTAGAATAGAAACCTCTTAACCAAGATGGGAAATCCGAAATGAAAACAAGAAATGCTAAAAGGATAGAAGGCAATTTTTGGTTACATAAACTTTAAAAACTTTTAGATGGCAAAAATACCATAAAAATACAATTGACAAATGATGAATTTGGAAACATATTGACAATGGAAGTGACAAACGGTTAATTTTTGTAACACCAATATTACAGATGAATGTGGTATTTGGAGTGCTGGAACAGCTTGTGGAAAGATGCCTCTTCTCAGCAGGTGCCCTGCCCCGGAGTGAGTGTGAGAGCCACAGAGGCAGTGCCAATGCCTGCCAGACAGGCAAAACGGCAAAACCAGTCAGGTCTCCGGGCTCTGGTGTGATCCTAAATGCAGTTGTCAGCTGTCTCAGCCTTTTGGAAAGCAATCTAGCAAAATATATTTACTACAATGTAAGAATACACATGCAGCCGGGCGCGGTGGCTCACGCCTGTAATCCCAAAACTTTGGGAGGCCAAGGCGGATGGGTCACTTGAGGTCAGGAGTTCGAGTCCAGCTTAGCCAACATAGTGAAACCCTGTCTCTACTAAAAATACAAAGAAAAATTAGCCGGGCTGGGCGCAGTGGCTCACACCTGTAATCCTAGCACTTTGAGGGGCCGAGGTGGGTGGATCACCTGAGGCCAGGAGTTCAAGATGCCTGGCCATCATGGTGAAACTCCATCTTTAAAAAAAAAAAAAATTAGCCAGGTGTGGTGGCACCTGCCTGTGATCCCAGCTACTTGAGAGGCTGAAACATGAGAATCACTTGAACCTGGGAGGCGGAGGTTGCAGTGAGCCGAGATCGTGCCACTGCACTCCAGCCTGGGCAACAGAGTCAGGGTCTGTCTCAAAAACAAAAGAAACAAAACAAACAAAAAGATAATGTGTTGAAGCCTCACCTGCTGTGGGATGTGTTAGTGGGTGGGACCTTGTCACGGGGTGGGGTCTTGTCGTGGGGGTGGAGCTTTGTAATGGGATTAGTGCCCTTGTAAAGGGACCCCAGCAATATCCCTTGCCCCTTCCACCATGTGAGCCTGACCCGAATCTCCCTCACCCCTTCTACCACGTGAGGACACAGAGAGGAGTCAGACCCGAATCTGGTGATGCCTCCATATCGGGCCTCCAGAGCTGAGAAGTAAATGTCTGCCGTCTGTGACAGCAGCATTCCCGGACGGAGACACCTCTGCCGACAGCCTCACTGGTGAGTCCCACCCGACAGAAATAAGAACACTAGTCCATAAAGACGCATGTCCAGTGACGTCTGCAGTGGCAAAAGAGAAAAATCAAGTGCAGAGCAGGCACCGAACTGGGGAAGGGCTACATGGAGGATGTCAGGCCACACGAGGGGCAATGTCTTGTCTGACAGCAGGCGTCAGCCTAAGGGGCTCTGGGACGTCCTGCTGAAGTGGCAAAGACGATGCAGAAAGAGTTTGAAGATTCCATTTTCTTTCTAAAATGGGAACAAAAACATCTCTGCATTTTTTCCATGTCCCATTCACCAAACAAGCACATTCTGTGAGCACGGGAGGTTTGGTGAATGACAAGGCCTCTACGGACTTCATCTTCTACAGCGTGACCTTCAAACCACATCACACAGGCTCCAGAGCGCAGCAGGAGGGACCCGGCAGGCCACAAGGGGTCCTCCAGGGCCAGCTACCACCCACAGCATTGATGTGAGAACACCTGGCCAGGAGGCGTATCAAGGCCCGTTGCCCGGTCAGCAGCTGGTCCCTCCTCAGCGCTGTGGCCTTGTCGGGAGCCTCTGTGTGAGTGTGAGTACACACAGGTGCACACATGCATGTCAGGCAGGCAGGACTCAACTTAGTGAGCCTGGGGGTGTGCTTCTGGGAGTTCCATAGAATCTGTGAGAATAAACAGCAGGTTTGCTCCATGCCCGGGGCAGCCCAAGGCCCTAGAGGAAACTGTGTCTCTGTCTAGACCACGTGGAAGGGGCCAGGAGGAAAACTTTTCATGTTTTTGGCTGATCCTAATGTTCTGAGAAAAAGACCCTGCACCTATTTTGGGGGAGCTGCCCCAGGTGTTCTGCTTGGGAGAACAATCTTGGTTTAGTGAAGCCAGCTGGGAACAAAAAAATCCAAAAAATGCAACCGGAAGGAAAGATATTTTTCCCTTTCCTTATGCTGAGGTCTGACTATATTTCTGGCTGACTTGTTTACTTAAAGTCTGAGCGTTCTTTAGGGGACAGTGAGAGGGAAGACCAGCTCACCTTCCATCTGGCCTCAGGCGCCTCCCCTCCCTCTGGCCACTGTCCCCTCCCTCCTGTGTCTGCTTGCACACCTTCCCTTTGCCTCTGTTTCCCCTTGCTGGTACAGGTGTCGCGGGGCACCTGGCATGAGCGGCAAAGCTGCCTCCCCCTGTCCTCACAGAGCTCAACTCCAGGAGCTGGGATCCACGCTGCTGGATGTTGTGGGGCCCCACGTGCTCCTGGCTTTGGATCCCGAGGCTCTGGGCCAGTTGCTGGGTCTCCCTCAGCTCCGTTGCCTCATCTGTGAAATGGGGCAACTGCTCTTTTAAAGGCGAATGAGTGTTCACCCATGGTGTCCACAGAAACAGTCCAGCCTTCAGAGAAGGCTCCACGCCACGGACACGGGGCCAGCCCCTCCCACCGGGGCAGCCACGCCGGCTCAAACCTGCCCTGGCTCGGAGATTCCGGGCGTTCCTCTCAGGTTGAAGCGGCGGGGAGAGTAGAGCTGCTCCAGACCAGCACCCAGTCCCACTTTCTACATCGCAGGTCCTCTGGGGTCTGTTGGGGTCCACTGAGGGTCTGTTGCGGATCCCGAGGGTTTGTCATGGGTCACTGCTTTCTACACTGAGGGTCTGCTGAGGGTCCATCACCGGTCCCAAGGGTCTGTCGAGGGCCACTGCTTTCCATGTTGTGGGGTCTGCTGAGGGTCCGCTGCAGGTCCTGAGAGTCTGTCAAGGGCCACCACTTTCTATGTCGCAGGTCCTCCAGGATCCGTCAGGGTCCACTGAGGTTTCGTCATGGGTCCTGATGGTCTGTCGGGGGTCCTGAGGGTCTGTCAAGGGTCAGTTGTGGGTCACTGCTTTCCGTGTCACGGGTCCCGAGGGTCTATCGTGGGTCACTGCTTTCGATGTCATGGGTCCATCGAGGGTCTGTTGTGGGTCCCAGTGGTCCTCTGAGTGTCCGTCAAGCATCTGTCAAGGGTGACTGCTTTCTTCATGAAGAGCTAAGGGCATGGAGATCTGCAGAGTGAAGCTTGAAACCATCTTGGTGAGAGAGAATCTGACACTGTCCTAATACTTCTTCTGGGCTTTTACCACGGTTACACATGTAGGGAGGCCCTTGCCCCAGGACAGGAACTCCAGGGCCCCAACTGCACCTGGGCACAGGGGTTTGCCAGGTGAAAAATCTTGTTTTTCATTTTGTTATCACGGCAAATCTGATTCACATGCATAATGCACCAGGTTATCCCCGGAACCACATTTTCTGCATGAAGACGACAGCCTACGAAACAGCTGATGTCTGTGCAGTTATAAAGGGCTTTGCTATCTTAAAACTAAGTTAATTCAAATCTGTTCAGACTGAGCAACTGTGCCAGCTTACGGGCCCACCTGCGTGGAATGCGGGAGGACAGTTCGGCACTCCTGGCTCCTTCAGAACCTTGGTAGCGAGGGTCTCAGATCGAGAGTGAGGTACCAGGGGTATGAATCCTTCAGAGATGCCGAGCATGTGGCGTGCTCTGGGCCAGAAGGGATGTGTTTGGTAGAATGACCTGCCCATAGGAGGCACTCAACAGCACTTGCTGTGTTAAACTGACTCGATTAGGTGCTAAATAACCACCAACAGCCACCACAAATACAGCCAACGGAGAAGGGCCTGGGTGGAGTGAAACACCCTGTACTGCATTTATAGGAACTAATAATGAAGATTATCCTCATATCAAAGAGCTAGACCCAAGATATTCACAGACCTGCAGCTGGCTTCACAATCAGGGTTTGCACGGAATTTACCTGTGACACAGAGCGAGTTCTTCCAGCAGTCTGGAAGGAAGCATTTACTGCTCAGAATCTAGGAGGTTCAGATAGAAAGCAACAGAGTTGTGTGTGTTCATCTGTGCCAAGATTTTCCAACCCAGATGTGTGTGAGGAAGGGTGTGGTTTTCTTCAGGCAAGGGCTGCGGGGGTCAGGGCTCAGGGCCCTTTCATTTCCCAGCCCTGATGGCGCCTGGGACCCCCCACACTCCCTGCCTCAGCACCACCCCCATGTCTCAGCTGCTGACAGGGCCTGCTCTGGCCCCAGCCTCTCTGCCAATCTCTCTGTTTCTCAGCTGTGACCCTGTGTCCTGACAGAGACCCTGTGCCAGCACTGAGACATCGTCATCGTGAGAAGGTGGAACAGAGACAAAGGGACAAGAGAGTGGGACCCTGTGGTGGGGATAGCCTCACCCAGGAGGATGGCTGGTCGGGGCAGTGCAATGTGCCCGAGCTGGAGTAGAGAACGTCGTCCTTGACCAGCACTGAGATGGCTCTCAGGATGAAGGACAGGAACAGGTTCAGGTGGATGTAGTTCCTGGTGCAGTGCAGCTTCCTAAAGTGGAGGAGCGGGGAGAAAGGGGGGAAGGGTGGGAGGGACGGAGAGAGAATCAACACTGATTTTGGAAACACCCTAATAATCACCTAGGTGGTTTTAATCTTAAAGTTGTTTTCTTTTTATGGAAGTGAATCATTTATGTATTCCTCTATCATTGTATCTTTAAGTTTCTTATTTTGCATTGTGATATTTTTAATTTCAGAACTTTGGGAGCTGAGGCAGGAAGATCACTTGAGCCCAGGGATTTGAGGCTGTAGTGAGCTATGATGGTGCCGCTGCACTCCGCCCTAGGCCACAGAGCAAGGCCCTGTTTCTAAAGAATTTAAAAGTAAAATAATAAATGATAAATATTTTTGCACATACATCTTTTCCCTTATCTTGTACTATTTCCTTAGGTTAGATTCCTAGAAAAGGATTTTACGGTAAAAGCATAAGCCAAGTGGCACGCAGTCCAGGGCCTGCCAGGGCAGGGGCCCGTGTTGCAGGTGTGGAGGCTGAGTGGCCAGTACGTCTGGCGTTCAGGGGCTTGGGCTTCACGGGCCCTCAGGCTGAGGACTGCTTCTCTCCTGCTTCTCCTGTTCCGTCCCTGAGTCTCCTTTTTGCTCTGACTCTTCCACCTTGAGCGAGGAGGCAGCATCAGCCTGTCCTCAGCTAACCAATTAACACCTGGCCCTCGAAGGTCTTACTCCAGTTGATGCATAACTTCCTTTGTTAGGTGGGAAAAGCTGCCTTTTCTAAAAGCTGATTTTCTCCTAATCACACTAATGCTGTGGAAGGCAGGCCCCACACCAAACCTTCTGGGATCACCTGAGAGCCCGTCTCTGGACCTGGACCGACACCGTGGCCTCCTGGCCTTGCCTGGGCTCTGCACATCACCCCTGATGGCCCTCATGGCGGATGCATGGCGTGGGTCAGACCACAGGCTGGTGCCTCCCCTGCTCCCACCACAGTGACTCTCAACTCTTCGTGCCTCTTGGCCTGTGCTCTCCAGTCAGCTTCCATGAGCTACACAGAGCAATGGAGACTGCAATGTGGTGAGTTCAACCCAGAACTTAAGGGCTGCGTTTAACATTTTCTTTACTTTTAATTAAATTTTAAAATGGAAGCAGTATAAGCTCTGTTTCCATTACACGTCACTTTCTCGTCTTGGGGGCACCATCTCTCACTGTAGCTGCTACGTCACGCATGGCGCTGCGTTGTGTGTGTGTGTCGCGGGTGCATGTGCTCTGCCTAGCACTTGACCTCAGTATGCCACGGGTCTAACTGATAGTGACAGATTGAGTTGAATGATTTTTTTCTCTACATGAATGGAACACTGTAACATGAATACTTATGAAGGCAGCATGAATTATAGTAATACTTGCATAAATCATAGTTATAAAATGGAAACACTTGTTATTTTAATTAGAATACTTATTTTTCTAGTTTAAGAAACAACTGTGGGCAAATTTTAAAATTAAAAATGAAGGCATACTACTGGTGCAGAATGAGGTAGAGATGAGAAACTCATACTATGACCAGAGAAACACAGAGAAATAAAAGAATTGAGGGCATGAAGCAAATTTAACCATGAATGGCAACCACAATTTGCTGTGGAAGAGAAAAATGAAAAAGCTCTGTTAAGATTTTTTTTTTGAGATAATAAAGTGGATGAGCTGAAGAAATGTTTTTTGCAAATACATATTGAATTCGAGAAGAAGTTTCCTGTCAACAATTAAAAAAATGGTTAAAATCCTAACGAAGAGGTCAGTGAAAATGGTGGCATAGGGACCATTAAGGAAACACTAAAAAACCCGGGAAAAACTGCTGGAATCAACCAGAGCCCAGAGCCCTGGAAGATACTCAAAGGCTTATGGCAACCCAGTGAACCCTTAACCTGGAGAAAGGCCCTGAATAGGCAGAGAGCATGCTGTATGTAGCTCACCTTTGCCCCAGCCTACCCCAACATGCTGGTCATTTTGAAGACAGAAGCCCATGTTCCTATTGTGAGTATCTGGTCCTGGAGGAATTTCATAAACCCAAGGAATTGTGTTTGTTTTGACCTTTCTGTGGGTTCTGGGCAAAAGACTCAGATTTCTCAGGCTGAGAAGTGGTTTTGCAGACATGCTGGAAGCTGAATGTATAAGCTGCAGCCAGCTCAGGAAACACTTGGCAGCTGAGGCAAACAACAGGCTCTCTGATAGCCCGCGAGGAAAAGCTGGGGGTAAGAATCCCAGAGAATAAGGGCTTCAAGAAGCCCTTACGTGAAATGTGGAACCTAGAATCCAGGCGCACATTCAGGGCAGAAAGGACCAGAGAATCCCACAAGCTCTTCTCTCAGGCTGCTCTTTGGGCTCAGCACAAGCAGGCAGCGAGGGCTAAGGCAGAGCTGGAAACACTCTGGTTAAGCACTGAAGGAGTGCTTCCAACACAGAGCCAGCCTGCAAAGGCCTGGAGAGAGTACTTTTTTTTTCTTTCAGTTTTTTTTTAATCTCTTTTGCTCCAGGTGTTTGTGGAAATCTCTGTCAAACAACCAGCTGATGACGAAGCTAAAAGTATAGAGGCTTCAGAGACCAGCAAAGACCAAGAGTCTTTACAAAAATAGCTTAGAAAGTCCCCAAATAAACAACTACAACCTGCAGCAAGAAGCAACAAATCCTAGAGCGGGGAGAATGTGATTGCAGAGTCATCACATCAGAATATTCAAAATGCCTAGTTTCAACAAGAAAATGTAAAGCACAAAAAGAAATAAGAAAACATGGCCCATTTACAGGAGAAAGAAAGTGAATCAACAAAAATTGTCCCTGAGGCATCACATGAAATATATTTACCTTAAGTTTCTGCCTTAAAGTCACAGGCAACAACTTTAAATAAACTATCTTAAACATGCTTAAAGAGAAAACAAAAATCGAAAAGCAAAACACCATGGAAAAAAAGGAAACCAGGAGAATAATGTCTCAACACATAGACAATATCAATAAAGAGACAGAAATTACAAAAACTAACCAAATAGAAATTTTGGAGCTGAAACGCACAATTGAACTAAAAAATTCACTAGAGAAGGTCAAAGCAGATTTCTTTCTTTCTTTTCTTTCTCCTTCCTTCCTTCCTTCCTTCCTTCCTTCCTTCCTTCCTTCCTTCCTTCCTTCCTTCCTTCCTTTCTTTCTTTCTTTCTTTCTTTCTTTCTTTCTTTCTTTCTTTCTTTCTTTCTTCTTTCTTTCTTTCTTCTTTCTTTCTTCTCTTTCTTTTTTTTTTTTTGAGATGAAGTCTTGCTCTGTCACCCAGGCTTGAGTGCAATGGCGTGATCTCGGCTCACTGCAACCTCCGCCTCCCAGATTCAAGCAATACTCCTGCCTCAGCTTCTCGAGTAGCTGGAATTACAGGTGTCTGTCACCACGACTAGCTAATTTTTGTATTTTTATTAGAGATGGGATTTCACCATGTTGGTCTCAAACTTCTGACCTTAAGTGATCTGCCTGCCTTGGCCTCCCAAAGTGCTGGGATTACAGGCGTGAGTCACTTCACTGGCCTAGATTTGAGCAGGCAAAAGAAATTATCTGTGAACTTGCAAAGAGGCAAACTGAAATGATCCAGTTTGAGGAGCAGAAAGAAAACAAAGAATGAAAGAAAATGAAGAGAGCCCAAGAGCCTAAGAGGCTTGTGGAGCTCCGTCAAGTGCACCAGCACATGTGTGCGGGTGTGCCAAAATTCTCAAGTCCTGCAGAATTACGAGGAATCCTGAACAGCCAAAGCAATCTTAGAAGAACAAAGCTGAAGAACGAACCGTCTCAATTTCTAAACTTACTACAGACTACCAAATAGTGTGGCACTGCATATCGATCAATGGTACAGAACTGAGAGTCCAGAAATAAACCTACACATCTACGGCTATTTGGTTTTTGACAAGGGTACCAAGGACATTCAATAGGGAAAGAATAGTCTTTTTAACGAATGTTGCTGTAACAAGCAGATGTCCATATGTAAAAGAATACAGCTGGACCCCTACCTCACAGCACATTAAAAATTACTCAGAATGAATCAATGACCTAAACGTAAGAGCTAAAACTGTAAAACTCCTTTGAAAAAACATAGGAGCAAATCTTCATAACCTTTGGATTTCTTGTGTACCTGAGGTGTCAACCACAAGTTTATTAGGCTCTGTTGGATTTCTTATGCTCTTATGTATGATATCAAAAGCATAGGAAGAAAACAGCAGATAAAGTGGACTTCATCAACATTAAAAACGTTTATGCATTAAAGGACATTACTAAGAGAGTTCAAAGAAAACCTACAGAATGGGAGAATGTCTGTAAATTATATATCTGATAAGGAAATATATAAAGAACTCTTAAAATTCAACCACAAAACCCAATTAGAAAATGGGCAAAAACTCGACTATAGATTTCTCCAAAGAAGCTATACAAATGGTCAATAAACACGAAACCACAGTGCATCATTGCATACCCACTAAGAGGGCAATAGGAATAATGATAATAATAAATTAAAAAAAGAGAAAATAAAAAGTATTGGATGGGATGTGAAGAAACTGAAACCCTCATATATTGCTAGTGGAAATGTAAAATGTTATAGTTATCGTGGAAAGTAGTTTGGTGGTTTTTCAACACAGAATTATAATATGTTCCAGAATTCCCCTTGTAGGTATATGCCCCAAAGAGTTGGAAACATGTATTCAAACAAAATGTGTACATGAATTTCACGGCAGCTCTATTCACAATAGGCAAATGGTGAAACAGTTTAAATGTCCATGAGCAGATGAATGGAAAAACAAAATGTGGCATATCCATACAACTAATATTATTCAACCATAAAGAGGCATGGAGTATTGATGTGGCTGGAACTTGAAAACATTATGCTAAGTAAAGACACCAGTCACAAAAGGCCACATACTGTATGATGCATCCAGAGGCGGCAATTCCATAGAAAGAGAAGGCAGATTCTGGTTTCCAGGAGCTGGGGGGAACGGGAGTGACTGACCAATGTGCAAAGGGCTTCCTTTT